ATATCTTTATGCTCAACAAAATTGGCCCTGCTTACGACACCAGGCCAGCCAAGTTGAACATGAAGACCAGATAAACATGACATAAGGCTACTCATGTCACCACCTCCACTCAGGAAAACAAGAAGCTAAGGCAGGATCTACCATCATGTACATCCTTTCAGCTGGCCATTCAGAATAATTCTGTCAATATGCAACAATGACTGTTAGACAATAAATGCAAACTAAAAATCTTTTTTGGATACTTATTTAGTGTGCTGCACATGGAAATCTGAATGCTTTAGGAGAGTAAAGTGTTTGCATAGTTCTTACTGAAGTAATATTTGCTGGTTCTGTCAGAACTGCATAGCTGTGCTCTTAATTCTTGTGCATTGTTGTACCTGAAGTTACCTGTCTCTGTTATTTCAGTCATTCACACAGTTCATTGAACAGTATACTAAATCATTCTGTCAAATAATTCCCAGGTATTTAGTTTGTGAATTATTCTATGATCACCTGTTGGATTCTTTTCCTGAAAATTAGTGGTGACTCAATGAAAAGTGTGTGACTCCTCTTTAAAGTAACAACACTACAGCAAATGGGAGGAAAAAAAAATTGCAGCAATTATTATTTAATATTTTATTTTGGAGGTGTGTCTTGTTTTTTGGTTTTTTTTTTAAAATTCAAGTGTTTCCTAATTTGTGATTGCCTCTAAATGCATGCAAAATGGCATGCGGGTCATATTTTATTACATTTCTGCTTGTCCAAGTTCCCTCAGATTAACATTGCTGCTCTCCACTTTGTCTGGAGAACGACCAATGGGGCCTGGGGAGGAGGTGTTTGGTAACTGGAGCAGAGAGGCTATATTAGCTCTACCTTTGCARTCTAAAAATATCTCTGTTTTAGGAYGGTTGGACAGAATTTGGCCCTTGGGATTTATAGCTAGGCAGGTTAAGTGAGAGCTGTGCACATTAAATGCAGGCTTTGAGGTAGGCCATCGCATCTTTCCTAAAATGATGTTACCCTACGGTCAGATTTTGTTTGTTTTTAATACTCTGYAAATTTACTACAGGGGCTTTGATGCATGTTTTTCAGCTTGAAAGCAAAACTGTCTTCCTTCATCCACCACTTTACAGTTTTAATGCTTTTAGCAGGCAGCTCCAAGACACAGAAAGGGGCTCAGAAAGCAGCACAGCTGACAAGAATATCTGGAGCTGCTCTARGAAAGATATAAAAGAACACCCAAGAGGCCAGAAGAGGACAGAAAATCTTTTGGCCAGGTGCCTGCCAATCTTTGGCTGAGCACATGGACAAAGCTCCACTGCTGTGGGTTGCTCTTCCAGGGCTGGGTGGTGTTCATTCACCTTCAGAGGAAGAGTTTGATACCAAATCAGTGCCAGAGAAAGGCTGCAGGTCCTGGTGTGCATCACTGGGGTGGGATTGCCTCTCTCCAATCAGCTCAGCACCAGCTTTGCCTTTGATGTGTTCCTTCTGGGTTACAGCAGAGTGRATGAGAGAAGAGCCCTCTTGCACATCCAACAGAACTTTCTGCTGCCTGCATTTATTCTGTCTTTTGTTTGTTTGATTGTCTTGAAATTTTTTACTGTGCTTTTGATCCGAGCCCAAGAATTGAAACCATCRCTGGGAATGTGCTGCTAGAGAGAATTGTGGAACAAAATGCAACCACAACTCTTTAAATGTTGATTTAAGGGATGTCTAGACCTCATGCTGGCTTTCTGCACCCAGATGAATTTCTCATAGAGAATACCCCTCCTCCACTTTCCAGATTTTATATTAAAAGCCAGTTCCCTATACTCTCTYTCAACTCCAGTCCTTCTGGATAAAGAGGAATAATAGGCTTTCTGCTTTCTCATTTTAATTTGCATTTTGAAATGGGCTTGCATTTAATGGAAGTGAAGACAACATTGAAGAGGAAGCACGACCATGCTTTTGAATTATTAGGTTAATTAAACAAAGCCACAAAATGCTGGCAGTGGAAAAGACCAAAGTCAAAGCATCCATGCATATTCCATGGCATTGCTGTTGGCTCTGAAGAAAGATGCCCTTAYCCTGTAAGAGCCTGGCTTGTGCTCTGGTGGGCTGATGTCAGCAAATATTTCTAGAACTTCTGCTTTTGTTAGAGTCACACAGTAGATGTTTTTATCTTGCTTTTATCTTCAGAATTTTCTCCCTTCTCTCACAGCTGTGGGGATTTGTTTATTTTGTGTTAATAACTAGATCTGCAGTTAGTGTGTCTAACAGCATAATTATCCACACACACCAGACACAGGTAGGTAGATCCAGCACAGAATATTCATTTGTATTGGAGGATGGAGAAGAATTATCAGCCAGGAAGGGCTCTAAATGTTTTCCAGGATCAGAATTCAAGTGATCTGTACAGTGGCAGAAAAATATCCAAGGGTAATATTTTTCYAGTGGAAATTCCCATTTCAGAGGGGAAAAAAGAAGGATAAAGTAATGTTTCTGCTGTTTTTTCTGGCAACCAAAGGTGCTCAAGCATTACAGAGAATAATACTTAGTATAATACCAGATTAATCATTTGAGACTACAGTGTTTTAGGTTATTCTTTTCCTTCCTTTATAGTAGACATCACAGCTAGGACAGGGCATGTCGTTTGCCTGCAGCTGCTCATTAATACAGGAAAAAATAGTGAGCTAGAAGAGTTTATTATCTAAACAGACAGAACATAGTGAAAGTAGAGGAGTTACTACCCACGATTTTGTGAGTGAAATGAAGGAATATTGAGAATAAATTATTTGTTCAAGGCAATATTAACAGCTATGCAGAAAACCCCAGACCACCCCAATTCTGATCCAGTACTTAAAACTTTTGGTTTTACCTACTTATCTTATTCTCAATTTTAAAGGATTTGATGGTTTTATCTATTTTTTTTTTTTTGGTCCATGTTTATTGTTTGAAGAATCTAAACTGTCACAGAGAAATGCTTTGTGTCTGATGTATAAGCCATGATCACTAGGACGGGCTTGGAGATAGAGGAAATGGTCCATTCCCAAAAAAAGGGATGCCTGTACCTGACTCCAGCATTACCTTTGAAGCCTTTTGCCATGCACAGCACTATGCTTTATGCTCCCCTCTGCCCTGAAAGAGTTTGCCATATCCTGGTGGACAAGGAAAGCAACTTTGAAATATCAAAAAATGGTTCCAAAACCTCTTTTCAGTTTTTTTGAAGCTCCCTGCTGACAAAATATTTCCATATATAGGAAAGGGAAAGAAGGACTTGCACTYGTTTAAACTTCTTGTTTTAACTTCAGTCCATCTCCTAAAAGCATCAGAAGCWGCAGAGAGGTTTGCCTTGCCATTGGTCTGACAAAAGGACCACTTTGCTATGGTCAGGGGGCAAAATGAAATGGACCCAAGGGACATTCTTGGTGAAAATCCTTCTGTGAACAAAGAGAGACCAGCAGCTTCATCTCTTGCACCTCATTGTGTAGATTTATGTGGCATAAAAAGACCATGAGCATTGTRCTACTCTCTGCACATGGCAGGATTGCACTCAGCAGCTTGAGAAGGTCAATTAAGTATTAAATAGCACCCAGGATAACAGGGTAAGATCACTACATGCCATGTAGAGTTTTTTACATATCATGAGCTGTGCACAAGGGCATATCTAAATAAAATGCATAGGAAATAGCATCACACAAATATGATCTACATTTTTCCTTGATCAAAGAGGCTGAGGGAAAAAATAATTAAAAAGTAAAAGCCTTATGCAATGAGATTTAAAAGAAAACTTTGGAGGCTGACAAGACGCATCTGGCACAACTTCAAAGTCCATCAAAGTACATATAATCAATGTTTGTCAATAGCAGTTTTGCATCCTTTAATTTATCTTTCATGGATATAAAGCATGATGTTATTAGGATCCAGTCCATACCTTAATTCTGTTTGAGATTTGATGAATCAGGGCTCTATTAAAATTCAGTGCAAATCAGCTTACTCAAGGACACATTACATAAAGTCGTGTGTTATCTAACTCCTTTTATCTTGCTGTCTTTCTAACTAGTTAAAGAATCTGGAATTTCATAAACTTGTATTTGTGACTGGCCACCAACACAATAAATCTCAAATATTTACTGCTTCCAGGCACCTGCTTAAGGTGTGCACAGTGGCATAGTCAGCATAACCGAATTTTTTGTGTATTTTTTGATGTATGAAATCTCCTTTGGGACTGTTCGTGCTCCACAGTGAGGAACCATCAGGAACACGGTTCTCTGGCATCCAAATTTCAGCACTTCTCACKGCAATCGAGTGCTCTCAACTGTCCTTTTCACCACAAAATCACGTTCAGGATGGGAAATGATGAAGCCCTTGGGATTTCATTATTTTCTTCCTCATATTTCAACATGTGCATGCTATTTCTATCACCTTCTTTCTTTTCAGGTTCTAAACTGTCCCGGATAAATAACGGTCACTTTATTTGTTTTTGTAACACAAAAATACCTGATCAGTGAAAGTTTGTCAGCATTTCCTCAATAGAAAGTTGTTTATTCTTGCTGATTTCCTGAGTTGCTACTGTTGCTACAAATGCTTCAGCCTCAGGACACTAGAGGTTACTCAAGAATTTAAATTTYTATTTAAAAYAATAAATCCCAGTTCTCACATCAGTGGACAAAAGCTTTAGAATATGAACTGTGTTTCATGYCTGATATTTAGAAAATAATAAAAACCTAACACTTCGATATTYTTAAAAATTCATATATTGTGTAACTAGATCTCATTATTTTTCAGGTGGGAGAGAAGTAAGTATGATTCATACTTATTTTCCAAATGATAATAATCGTTGAAAGATATTTCTAATCCAAGACATATATTTGTTTTTATTGTTAGTTTATATATTCCCATCTTTGATACTTACTGATCTGAAACATTTGCCAGTGGTCAATGCAGCAATTAYCTGGACAGGATGCATTTATTTGATCAGGGCAACCTGTTGAACATTAAACAATATTTGAAGCATGGTTAATTATTTGCACTGAATTAGCTCGGCCTCGAAAGTTTGTGGCTTGTCTGAAAAAAACATAAGCAAGAAGAAAAAGCTAATTTCAAGAAAAAAATCGAGGATGTTTAGCAGTGCTTTGACCCTTCAGGTTCTTCCACTGGTTGTTCTCCTAGGGACCCCAGGTTTGTGCGTGAGTATGTTTTTATCCTCCTTTTCTTTCCATGTGCCAGCTCTGCAGTATCTGAATTTCAGGCCACTGAGGTGACTGAGTTAATGTGGCATTAGAGGGAAGCCCTACGGGGTTTTTTTTGGCGCAAACATCTCCATTGCCAAGGAATGGCTCTGGTGGGTATGTTCAGTGGCCATTCCACTCCCAGGGKCTGTGGTGGGAAGTGTAGTCCCTCCCCAAGACCTGGGCACTCAGAAATGCCCCAAAACACTGGGCTGCAGCGTGGGCAGCTCATCTTAAAATCACATTTTGGGTTGGAAGGCACCTSAAAGATCATCTTGTTCCARCCCTCCTTCCACTAGACCAGGCTGCTCAGAGCTCCATCCAGCCTGGCCATGAATGTTTCCAAGCACAGGGCATCCACCATCTCCCTGAGCAACCTGTRCCAAGCAAAAATTTTCTTCCTTATTTTCAGTCCTCATTCTAAGGGGACTGAATATCACATTAAGCAGGTCAGGTAGGCGCTGCCTTGGCAGCTTTGCAAACTCTTCTGTAAAAGGTAAAATTTTCCCCAGCCACATGTTTTGGATGACTGAATCATTGTTGTCACTCATGTGGGAGGAAGGTTAATGGCAAAATATTCAACACAGCCAGGGGTGACCAGAGCTCTGCTCTGGCAGAGCTTGATATACTTTCCTGCATCTATTCATCTCCTCTTTAAAGAAGAGTGRAAGAATGACTTGTAATCAAAGGAAAGTTAAAAGTCAGTTTTWAAAAAAAAATCTTTTGTTCTTCCAAGCAATCAAGTAGATTTTCTCATGAAGGAATCAGAGGTTCTTTAAAACATCTGCTTTCTTAGTGACATTTCCTATTAGTGCAGGTTCATATTTACTGAAATGCGTTGCAAAATTTCAGATGTTGACATGCTTAGAATCAATTTTTTTGGAAAAATATATAATGAAGGGGTTTAATAGGGCATAGATTTTTTAAAGAGCTCTGGAAATTGAGATCAGTGATTTTTACAACTCAGTAGAGGAATTATTAATTAGTGTATCATCAGGACCAATGTCAGTCTTGGTCCAGTAGAACATGTAACCTTTTACTGAGGAGATCAGCTCTAGGGTAYTTCAACACCAGTTTTACAGATTTTGTGGGAATAACATCTAGTGTAAATGAGCTCWTAATGAATTTGGCAGAGTTAATTCATGCTCAGTGAGGAAGATGTGGGTCCAGTTTTAGACAACATGAAGCCTTGCCCAGRGTTTTCCTAACTAGTCCTAAGTGTTAGATTGATTCAATAGCTTTGACAGTCCTAATCTGACTTTGCTTTAAAAATTGTTATGGAAAATGTAGAATACATCTCCCCCACCCCTGAAAATTCATTAACATTGCTAAAATGCAAAAGCAATTCTGCTGTCACTGAAAAGCAGCAYGACAGAATATTCAGCAGGCTAGTTTTTAATAAAACATGTTTTTTCTTCATAATTAATATAACAAGGTTTTCTGGCTTAGCACTTGGCATGGATCCCAGAAAAAAAAAAAAAAAGAGGGGGATGAGTTGCCATGATGTGACCATTGGATGACAAACAAGTTATGAGAGGGTATTTTTGTCTTAATGATTTGTCCCAAAGAAAAAGTTGCACGGAAACAGTCTGAATGAAAAAATAATAGATGTTTTCTATTTTCATCTTTTCTTAGAACTATCTACGTATTTTTTTTTAATCTGGTTTTAGAAGTTTTTATAAGTAGCAATCTGATTAACAAATATTAYTGGTGAAATACAGCAGAAGTCAAACATGGGTTCAAGCAGTAGCCCATGCTGAGTCAGTCACAATAAAACAAGAAAATACTTGGACGTTCAAGGATCTGGCAGATTCAGAGCAGAACCCTAAGGCAAAAATTTCCATTCAGTTCTTTCATACTACCTGAAGAGAAGCTGATTTCATCTGCATGAATCCAAACAATTTCCATAAAAGGCATAAAGCTGCATGGAGAGAAATGAATTTGGTCCTTTATCTTAGCGTATGTGATGCAACTGCACCAAAGATTGTCTGCAGACATGGTGGGTCTTCTRGGGCTGGGGTTTATTTCCCTGCTTTTCATTTCACTTCTGCTCAGCAAGATGCTGTAGCAGAAATGTGTTTGCCATCAGGAATTGTATTGTTAAGTATTCTTTAATTACCCAAAGAGAAAGCCAAGGAACTCTGCTGCAGTCGAGCGATGCATCCTCACTTATCCAGACCTGTATTGAAGCAACTTTTTTGGAATGCACTTATATTTAAATGGTATGCTTAAATGTTGGGCTAGAGAAATCTGGAACAGGACAGGATTCATTTGGATCCCACAACCCTCCAGTGACTGCCCTGCCTCTACACCAGGCTGCAGCTCCCACTTAACAGCGATCAAAAGTGGTTCAGAACATGTTCCCAGGGAGAAAAGTTATTTTAAAATCTACCGGTGTTCACATYAGGCCTTTCCCTTGCATCAGATTTCTCTGGAAACTCAACTTCCCTGGCAGCAGGGAYTTGCAAGGGTCAGAGGAGCAGAGGAGGCTCTTCACCGAATATTTTGGAACTTCAAAAAATTGATATCTGCTTAGTTTTGACAGAAAGCATTTTGAAATCACTAACCTTGCCCAATCCAAAAACCARGTACACTTTGTAGCGGAAAGGGAAGGATAAAAGCATCACATTAAGATCAAACAATTGCCAAAAAGAKCTGTTTATCATAAGGGCCTATCTCCCTCCTGGCACACAGCTAGGAGGATACTGCTGCCAGCAGTGCAGGTCTTTCCTTGCCTCAGGTGCTTGGAGACCAACATTTTCGGGCGTTCCAAAGTCAGCTTTGTCTGACATCTCTTTCTAACCCCCAGTGGATCCATTCCTGYAGCAAACTCCCTCTTCTGCTCCCKTYMCCCTCCCTCCAGGGCTGTGCTRTGCACACCATGGCTCTGTGCTSCGCTGTGCTGCGCACCCATMMCTGCCAAGGGAAGGGAAGGGAAGGGAATGCTGCCCACCCCGCCTGGATCTGTGGCCCATCARGTGTGCTACCCTTCTGCAGAGCTCTCCTAAATTCGCCTGATGTGGCAGGAAAGCAGCAAAGCCCTGGGAGCGCCCCCAGCTAATTTTGCACGGCGCTCTCGGAGAGGGAAGCGTTCCTGGCTGACCCCCGAAGGCAATCAGCTTATGCCCTGCAGCGTGCAGGTTGATATCCCGTSTAACTAAAGGCACTTAATGACTTTGCATAAGCTTTAAGTCTCGCAGTATAACCTGCATTTCCAGCACAGGCTGCAGGAATGTTTGATATCTCAGGCACTCGTGTTGGTGTGCTTGCCTGGCTTTGCAGCCCCCCAAAACACATTTTGTGGCATCCAAGGCTGACCCTGTTTTCTACCCAGGAGCATAGATGCACCTCAACCACCAGTGAGCAGCTTTAAAAACATCCAGCTGCCAACAGGCCACCTCTTATAGAGCAAAGATTAATTTGGAAACTTTGATTTCTTGTAAAACAGGAGCAGGTAACTGCTGAGCAGAGAACCAGGCTGGTTTCACCAGCATCTCAGAAGGATCTCACATTTTTCCTGGATCCCTGTGGGGTTTGTATCAGATGTTACCATAGGAAAGGTTCACAACCAAATAATTATCAAAATAAAGATTTTAAATGTAARCTTCTCTGGATACTCTGGGACTGCCAATAAGGAACACACCATTTACTCTGATGCACAAATTGCAGTTCAGGGTGAAGGCAGGAGCACTTCTCTTGTTAGCAGAGAAGTGAAGAACTCAGGGGTTTTGGTGGAATCCTTTCAGAGAATGGTTTCCCAGGCTAAAACACACAACATGTGTTGCATGTGTGTTCCAGATGATAATATGCCCTGYTTTCATTAAACTGCAACCATGGCCTTGGCTGAGAAACACAATGTCATTGCTGGAAAAGCCACTTTCCCTTGAACTTCAAAGACTGTCACTACCCAAGATGGTTGCAGGCAAAAATCTGGMCGATTGTAAGAGCATCAGAAGTGTYGATTCCCTCCTCCTTTGGCGAGCAGCCCAGACAAAGGTTCCTACTGAGAGCTGTCAGCGGGATCAAGGGGTTCACTCCGAGAAGGCAGGAGCTGTGTCTGCCCTCGTGGCTCCTTCGTGSCTCGTGTCACTTGTGGATGGAAGTTGATCAAATATCCATCTTCATTCTCCAGTTCYACCCCATCCCACCTCCTTCTTGGCTGCAAAGCTGTGGCTGCACAGATGAACAAATAAAAGCATGATCTTTGTTTTTCTGCTGTGGAGGGCCACTTTGTGACAAGTTGCAGGAGAGTTTGCAGGGCTTAATGCAATTAAGTGAAAAAGCCAAATGCAGTTTAATACTGGAATTCCTGTAGTGCTTTGTTGCAATGTGTGTCTATGTATAGAGCTAATTTCCATCTCTCTACTCTGTCATGCAAGCTTGAGCAATTACACTGTTTTCTCTGGAAGTCTGTTTTGCACACATAAATAGAATAACCCTAGGCTGTCACCTTTTTGCTCTCTTTCTCCACCTGCTTTTGTGTTTTAGTGATTCATTTGTATTGTAATAAGAGGTAGCAATGTACCCAAGACACAATAAGCAGTTCAATTGCAGAATGCCCTTGGAAGCTGTAAATAATTTCCCTTGAATTTGGGGTCAAATCTTCCTGGGTTTATTCAGAAAGAATTGCTGGAGATTAACTGGACATTTTTGTCTGAGAAAGAGCCATAGGATTCCGTCCTGTGATGAAGAAAGCTCATGGTTCTGTCATTCCTGTTTGAAATCTATTACATTTCATTAGTCTCTCTTTCTTAAGGAGTTGAAATGGAAAAATTGGATGTATCATGTTTAATCTTAGTATGAAGTCTATTTAGCAAAATTTTGATGGTTCTTTAGAGGAATGAAGTGAAGTGCTAATCATTACAGTGGCAAAAGACAAAAAAGGTCTGGTGAAATTAGGATATTTTGAATTTTACAATTTTTTTCCTAGGAGTTATATAAATGTAGTTGGGTCCATAGTTAGCAGTGCACTGGTACCCATATCAAATGTCTCACCTAGTTTGTTTGGGGATGTTTTTGTGATTTTCTTTCTTTCTTTTTTTTTTTGGTAGGGTTTTTTTTTTTTTTTTTTTTTTTATGAACCTAAAGTAACAAAATTTAAAATCGCTCTCTGAAATTCTTCTAGCTTTGTCCCTCATCACTGCAGACCTGCTACGAGCAGAACCCAGCGATTTTATTCCCTCTTGAGAGAGCACACAAAGTATCGGTGTCGAGCTGCAGCAAGGAGACTGTTTTGGTGAAACCAGCCCCACAGTCTCAATTTTTCTCCCCCCGCCCCCCTTCCTTTTGTTCGATTCCTGCTCCTCGTCGGGCTCAGTGTTGCACCTCGTCGGAAGGACAAGATCCTCCTCTGCTGGCCACGAGCAATACGGCACTGCAGGCCTCCCCCTGCCTGCTCTCCATCCTGGACCCCCACCCTGTGCCCCTCCTGACAGCCCCTTCTGCATCCCATATCCAACATCCTGCATCCCGCATCCTGCATCCCACATCCTGCATCCCACATCGTACATCCCACATCCTGCATCCCGCATCCCGCATCCCGCATCCTCTCCTGGAGCGGAGGAAGGGCTGAGGGAAGGAGTGAACTCTTCTTCCTCTGCTGCTTGCCATGGCAAGCTTCATTCCATGAGCCAAAAGCCTAAAACTTGGCCCTGTGCTGGCTGGAAGGGGTGAAAATGCTTCAGARCTGGTGTGGTCTGGGGAGTGGTCCAGCAGACCTCAGGAGGGAGGAGAAAACTCTCCTTGCTGTGCCAGAGGATTTGTCCCCTGAGGCTCTGCTGCTGCAGCTTGTGACAGGCTGCAGCACAAAAATGAGATATGGGAGCCTCACAGTAAAGGTTGTGTTTAACTCCTAAAGCCTCTGTGCTGGGTGCTCCAGATGCATTTGCTCCCAGTAACATTTATTCTGTGGCAGCAGACAGAGGCTTTCRTCCAAAAGCAGGAATCAAAATCGGGGACTCAGCCAGCAGCCRCCAAGCCACTGCCTGCTCTGAAGGATGCTCCTGGAAACCTGCACATTGTCCAGGCCACCAGTTTAYTGCAAGGGGGAATTTAGGGTGCTGTCCTTTAGTGGTCAGCTCTGCCTGTGCTTGGACAGCAGGGCAGGTGGATAACCTGGAAAAGAAAGTAGTGTAGCACAATGCTATGTCTCTCATCTTTCCTATTTCCTCGGGCTGTGAGCATCGAGTGTCATCGCTGCCCTTCAGCTGGGGGAACTGAGGCACAGAACAGCCTGGTGCCCCTCACTCAGCCTGGGCTGAAAGCCTCTGGCATTCCCTGGGGTGCCAAGGGATGCTCTGAGTGCAGGGGTGAGCTCAMCCAGTCAAACCTTTCAGCCCCAAACCCTTTCCAGCCCCATAAGGCAAACAGCCTAACAGGGCAGCAAAGCGAGCTGGAGAGGGAGATGAAATGTTTCTTGTATCATCCTGCTCCTATTGCTGCTTCCTTGTTCTTTGTTTCATCTGTTCCTCCAAAAGACGGGAGCACACTTGCAGGGTTYGTTTTGGTCTGTGTTTATGGTTGAATGTTATCACTAATTGTAAATGGAGCAATTAGACCTTTGCTTTATGCAGTCTCCGTTGGGGTCTGGCAAAGGATCTGACRAACGCTGTACCTGCACTCAAGAAACATATACACCAAGGACAGAGCTTTTACAGCCTTCTCATTTACCATCCTCCTTCAGGAGGGGCAATTGTGAGAGGATGTGTGTCCTTCCAGCTGCAAAGGATTTAGTTCTGTGTGTGTGGCTCACTCAAATGCACCTGGGAAGGGGCTCTGCTGAGTGGTTCAGGGGACTCTGCTCTCATTAAAGCCAGTGGGGAAGGGGAGAGCTGGAGTGTCTGTTCTCCCTGCCTCAAACACAAGAGGGATGCAAACGTGCCTGAAGCAAAAGCTCATTTATATCTTCCAGAGAATATTCACCAACGTGAATTCTGAGCTTTTTATTTTGTCCTGTTTCTTATTCATTGCCWGTGATTCATTTGTTCTTAGTCTCAACCAGTGTTATCTGAGAATGTCTTTCTTCTGTATGTAAAGTGYAGCTAAACAGGGAGTATATTTACAGTTAATTGTATCTCTAGCAATGCATAGCTGCTCGTAATAATTGTGTGAGTGTGTATGSTGTCCTTACTGTGTGTGTTAAATTGTTGGAAATATGTTTTATTCCCCAAAATCACGTGAGGGATGAAGAACAGCAGCTCCAAATCTCCTTTACACCCACTGTTAGCATGTGTATCCTCACTGCAGGGTAATCCTGTCCGCAGCTGGGATTTAGAGCAAGAGGGAAAGGGAAYGGAAATTGTCACGCTGGGGATGTGTCCTGGTGTAGAGTCAGTGCCTTTCCTTTCAGACAAACCTCCCTGACACTCTTCAAAGGCTGAGAGCTGTTTTCCTCTTCTGTTCCCTTTTGTTGCTCGCCCTTGATCRTGAGCCAAACAGGAAAGGCTGGAGCCCCACGTTGGAGGTGGGACACATGGCATTTCCTTCTGGAAGGGGCCAGAAATATTCTCCTGCATCCCAAAATCGTTGACAGCCTTCCAGCTCAGGGGTCCAGACCCCACTGGGGCACCAGGTCCTGGCCATGCTGCACTGCCCAACTCTGCCATGCCCAAGTACCCCACCTTATCTGGGTGTCCAGCACTAGGGGCAAACAGAACTTATGTAAGCAAAGCTCTGAGCCAGCTTATGTTTTTTCAAAAACTGACTCTCTGATCTTTATTATCTTGTGCAGGCTTCCCAATTTTCCTCCTGGGCCAACACGATGAAAGGTAAGTGCTTTCAATTTCTTCATTTTAACTTCTGCCTCCACAAAACTGAAGGGCTGGCAACTTGGTTTATCAACATCCTTTACCAGTGCCCAGTGCTGAATGACATTAACTCCATGCAGAGCCTTGCTGAGCTTAAAATAAGGCCCATGATCAAGTAAAAATTCTKTTTGGCTTTGGACAATTAATTTGGTGAGTGCTTTCAGCCCTCGGTAAAGGCTGCATTGCATTAAGATGCTGATAAGGGAAAAGCTGTGATGAATATTGTGTGAGGATATGTGTAAGGACTTGTACAACCTTTCACAGCCTCTGTGGTCCATGCAGAAGATTATGGTTTTATTGATAAGTTTAGTATTTTTGCAGGTAAGMCCTGCTCTTTTTTGTCTTGATTTCAATGGCTCTTAGACTTGAGTTTATAATGCATAGCTAATGAAATATTACTAAAACTTTGCTCATTTTCCTGCAAAAACCTAGGGTGGGTTTTAGCATGCACTCGTTATTCAGATGCACTCCTGTTCATTCCAGCAGCATTGTGGCTTTCAGGTCAARCCAGAAATCTTGTTTTTCATGCAGCAGTGCCCATATCGATGTCACTGTTCTAATGCCATGTGCATAGAAAACAAATTTCCAAATAATTTTTGTGTCTGAGCTCAGTATTTGGGTTCTGCAAATGTTTGGCCACAGTCATGCACTTGATTCAGGGTTTGCACACCTKTTTACACACAAGTTTGCACCCTTGTGTAAACTGGTTGATCTGCCTTTTGACAGTAGAGCATCCCTTTCAGTTTTTTAAATCATTCCCTGCCTTATGGTGTATGGTCCTTATATCTGTTCCTTGCTCTCCTATTCCCCATCCCCCTGCAAGTCTCTCCTCCTTCAGCCATCACAATCCCCCTTTGCCCAGCATCCATCCCTCTGAGGAAAAAAGTGCTGCAAAACTGCTTTTAAGTAACAGCCACAAAACTATTTGAAAGGCTTTCTGGCTTTGTTGTTAGCTGGTCTCCCTTCTTTCTGAAGCTGCAGCTACTCCCAGCCACAGCCTGCTTGGAAGGGGGGAAATACTGTGAGGTCTCATCTCTGCAGAAGTAAATGGGGGATATCTCATTATTTAAAATACAGACAGGATTTCAGCCTCATAAAAATAACACTACAATAATCTCAGAGCCGGTGAAAAAGAGTATTTAGGGGGGGGCAGTAGGMAAACTCATCCTGCTTAAATTAGGCCAGATTTCAGTCAGTCCCCAGAGGTTCAGAGAGCTGGAATAAATGCTGGGTACTTTCTGGCGCTCTTGATGTGTGTTGGCAATAGGCTTTAACTCTGCACATCACTCATCTTGACAACTGCAGTCCAACAAAGTTACCTCGCGATTCAGGTCACCCGATGGCATCCTAATGCATCACTTTCCCACTCGGAACATTAGTCATCACTTGATCCAGGGAAGGTTTTGAAAACAGTGTGACTGTCGGCGTTGGGGTATCTGTTCTCTCCGTAACAGAGAGCCCRTGTAAGCTAATGAACAAGGGGATATTGATCAGAAATCCATTGCTTGATTGACAGCTCTTGGCAATGTGAAAAACTGCAGATGAAAGCTCGTGCAGTTTAAAAGATCACCCAGACCTCAAAGCTGATTTGAAGCTTTAAAAGTCAATCTCTGTCTATCAATTATGGGGGGATTTTTTGTACTACACAGARGAAAGTTATTCTTTGAAAATTTGCATGCAGGATGTCTAATTTAATTTCATGTAATAGTCACATTTCAGTGACAAATGTCAGATCACTTCTTTTTTAAAGCATGTTAAGGTTTTCCAGCACTTACAAAGAACGAACGCTCTGATTTAGTAATATGTTTAAATCAACCAGTGTATCAGACTTTGTGCTTTAATTATGTGCTCAGATAAAAAAAGTGTTGTTTTTGCTTTACTAAACCTATGGCTTGTTATGAATAATTTAAAAAAATGGAATGGGAGCACTTCTTAAATAAGAGATGTGGAAGCCAAATAGTTATTTAGTGTCAAAGCAGTGATAAATAAGAAGACATCTTTTAGTTTGATATTGTATGCCCCAGTGAGGGTTCTCTGGTCTTTGTTTTTCACTGCTTCATGCAGCTGGAGATGACATGGAGCAGCTGGGAGATGGGAAGCATCACTCATGTGACATGCAGGAGCTGTGCCTGYTTCTCAGTTCCATAAAGAGGGGTGGCAATGGGGAAAGCAGGGACACTGMTCATTTCTCAGATCTGCTGCACTCTTACAGCTCCTTGGCTGGCCTCCTGGCCAGTGATCTCTGCTTCCTAACTCCATATCCACTTTTGCAGTCTGCCTTTTACATCTGTCACTCCCCTGCTCATCCTTCGTAACTTTTAGCAGGTATATTTTTCCATAAAAAGGGATACCCCATCCTTCAGAAAGCATCTGTGGAATGAAAGCCAACATGCCCCTCTGAGATTCTGAAAATAAACAGGGGATACAAAATCAGACTGCTTCAGACAGTCCCCTCAACCTCAAGTCGTTTGCAAAATCTCTCCAACAAAGTGAACTCGGAGGCTGCATTTCAGGCAAAACTTCCTTTTTGTTTTTCTTCCTTAACTACATCACATTAAATTTAATTTTGTTCACTGTAGACAATGTCCTTATCTTTCAGCAAGATCCTTCTGTTCCTCAGCAAGGCATACACTTCTGCAACACTTGCACATAGTCAAGACTCKGCTCCTGTGGAAATAATGAGCTGAGGAAAAGGAGTCTTGACTTGACATAGCAATAAATGAGGTGAAACTTTCCTCTATTTTTTTTTTTGTCAGAAACGAGAGTTGGCATGTAGGAAAAAAAAAAAAAGAAGAAGAAGAAAAAAAGACAGTTCTATTTTAATATGAAATATAAAACACCCATTGTACAAACGTGGAATTTCTTTCTTTTTTTTCAGAAGCAAAGAAAGAATAAAGATAAAGGCTGCAAGCGAATGAATGAGGAGAGAAAACTAAGATAATGCAGTCGATAATCAGTTCAAGGCAGAGCATTATCCATGGGGCCATCGGTCCGGCCCTAGGGGAGAGCTTTTTAAAATGCCTCTGTACGTAGCTTAGCTTTGCTCATTACCATAGCTTGTCTTTGAAACACCGGAGTGGCTTCCACTCCACAGCCGTACCTGTGCCAGGAGCTGCCAGCCTACTTTAATCAAACAACCCCCCCAAAATGGCACAGGAGGTGGGGACACGGGCTCCTGGATGCCAGGGGCTGGCAGAGGCAGGGATGGGCTCYTCAGCAGTGCCAGCAGTGYCAGCCCTCGCTCCTCCAARGCTCTTTTGAGGGTGAGGAGTCACAGACCTGCAGGTGCCCACAGACCTCTGTGCCCCCATTGCCCTCGAGGTGGGAATCTCTGTTCCTGGGCTGGGGGGAGCTCTTCCTCATTCTGCAGCAGTGGAGGTGATGGTCAGCAGTGCAGTGGGACAAAGAACCCTTTTTTCTTACAGGAACCTAAATCTCCTTTGGTCACTGTGCTGGTGGCAGCCTCAGTGTCTGCCCTGGCTGTGGTGTCACATGGGGGGCTCCTCATGCCTTTGCCTGCAGAGCCCTGGCCCCAGACCCCTCTGGGTGCCACCACTGGGCACAGCTGGGCAGCAGAGCCCCAGGGACCTTCAGGAGCATCAGCGAGGGCAGCACTGGGGCTGGTTGTGCACAGGGTGATCGTGCTGGGCAGGTGAGCTCTGCCTGTGCCAAGGAAAAGCTGAACTTTGGCCCTCAAGATGATCTCCAGACCCAATGACATCCCAAATGAGCTGAAAGGGAAACAGGACTGTCCATCTCAGGGAATACCTTCTCTCATAACTTCTCTCCTTCCAGTTTTAATTCCTCTGTTCATTAACTCTCTTCTTACCCCACCCTGCAGACGAGACTGATGACTACGAAGACTACCACGACTACTACTACTCCAGTTTGGAGCTGGACTCCAAACGCCAGCAGCAGCTCTTGGAGGAGCTGAGCTGGTTCGGGACATCTTCAGGTGACATCTCTGCCAGAAGAGGTACCTCTSAGGGGWGGGGAGGAAGGCAAGGAAGGAGTAAAATCCCAACCCTGTACTTGTAGCATGAGCATGGCAGGCCTGGCTGCCAGCCTGCTCTCRAAATGCCTGCATCAAAGGGATGAGTTAGGAGGATCGTTTGCAGTGTTCTTCTTTGTATTTCTCTTGTAAGGATCCTGTGTTTTATCTCCAGGTTTCACAGGATGGATTCTGATCATGCAGAACATTTCTGATTGCTACTACAAAAAAGCACAGGCTTATTTGTCTATAGACACTGTAAGATGTAATTGCTGTTTTCATGGGATATATGTTCTGTATTTATGCTAGGAACCAAATGTAGAGCAGGTTTCTTTTTTYTTCTTCTTCTTTTATCAGTTGCAGGGGTTTTATTTCCTTTTCATTTTTTGATTTGCAAAACTTCAGGAGAGCAGGAAAGGATCCTTGAGATTTCTCAGAGGACTCAAAAGGAGAGACAGGGAAGTTCCCTATAAGATTCCAGATTATCCCTGGGTCCAAAGAAAGCAGARCTGACTTTTGGCTGTCCCCAATACCTTGCTCAGACTGCAGTGCAGATGCTGAGCACAGTGTAAGGAGCAGCAGACAGGTGACTTTCAGCAGGGSCCAGGTCCCACCCCAGGTGGCATCAGCCACCCAGGGATATGGCAGAGTCTGATGGTGGTGGATGGCTTTTCCAGGAAGATTTAATGCTCCATTTCAAACAGGACAATGCCAAATCCACACTCCAGCCTCAGTGCATAAAGGCAGACAGMCAGAGGCAATGCCACAGAGAAAAATCTATCTCTGATCAAAGGAAGGCACTTGGCCCATCACAGCTCTGTAATAGACAGGGCAGAGGGAGCAGAGGAGCTCCAGACCCAAAGCCAAGAGCAGCTGTGGCTTGGAATAAACTCTGCAGCAACTCACACYGCCCCTGTGGCTGCTGAGCTGAGGCACAAGCACAGCACAGCTCACACAGGATGTGTAAGRCTCCTGCAGCCACAAAATGTGAGAAGAAAAAGCAGGTGGTGAAGGTTGAGAGGCTGAAAGATCTCCATGCTTACCTCTGCAGACCCRTGCTCCTCCAGCCCCTGCAAGAACGGTGGTAGCTGTGAGGCCAAAGGAAGTGGCTTCAGCTGTCACTGTCCCGAGCCGTATGGGGGGACTACGTGTGAAAAAGGTAATGGCTCTTTTATTAACCTGCACTCCTTATTTTGGCAATTAATGCTACTGTTGCACCTTTACAAATCCAGTTTGCTGAGCTGAGGGTTCTGRCAGCCCACAGCAGTCATGTTCACAGTTCTTAGCAGCTCACCCAGTCTGTCCAGACAGCATCCAGTAAAATAGATTTCAGGAGTGCAGAGAGTGCTTCTCTATGCCCTGTCAGGTGGGCAGTGGGGAGCTGCTCATTGGCACCACAGATTTTTTACCATTGATGCCATGAACCAGAAATGAGATCCCAAGTCCACACCTACCAAACAAAAGCTTCCTTGGAGCACCAGGAGAAAGCACCTTCCCACGATCCCTGCAAGGGCACAGCTCTTGTGCACACACAGATGCTGATAATGTACTTTGTGTCCCTGTTTTCCACAGTGGAGGACATGTGTCTGGGGAAGAACTGCCACTTTGGTGACTGCTTGATTGTGTTAACCCCACCCTACTTTAAGTGCAGCTGCAAACCTCCCTACAAGAAACCCTTCTGCCAACGCGGTGAGCACTCACTGGGCACAAACTGTGCTGGGGAAATCACCCACTATGGACTGTAATCCTGCCCTAGGCATGCTGCAGCTCCCATCCATGGGGCTGGTCAGTGATCAGTTCTGCATGATTTCCAGGGTGGTGATCCAGTCACTGGTAAAACCCTCAGTGATATGCATTTTTCAAGATTTGATCTCAAAAGGGGATCCCCCCAGACTGAGGGGGAGCTCTCCTCAGTTTCCCTTGGGTGTGAGAGTGGCTGTAGAGGGTTCAGCACATTGACAGATCTGTTCTCTGTTTTCTACATTGACAGCATCCAAACAGTGCAGTCCAAACCCTTGCAAAAATGGAGGAACCTGCATACGGAACAGACACAGATCCAAATTCACCTGCAAGTGCCCTGAACCCTTCAGAGGGAGATTCTGTGAGATYGGTATGTCACAAAGGGAAGAAATGTCAGTTGTTCCTTAAACACTCATAATCTGATGTAGTGAAGATGCCTGCCCGGTTGCCTGTGACTCCCCAGGCTGAGGGGACTGCTTCTGATGGGTGATATTTGAAATCAAACAGGCCAGAAGGTGGAGAGATGTTGGGACATTATTCTAATTTTCACCTGTATACAATAAGGAATATAATTACTTGCCCCAGCAGGTTCTTCTGGTTCTCCATAAAATTAAGACATGGAGGTGAAGGAAGAGGAACCACTTTGAGCAAGGAACAAACAAAAGTCATTTTCCTATGAGCACTGTCTTTCTACAGGACCAGATGATGATTGCTATGAAGGGGACTCCTCCACRTACAGGGGAAGAGTGAGCCAAGCAGCAAATGGCAGGACCTGCCTGCACTGGAACTCCCACCATCTCTTGGACCACCCTTTTAAYGCCTTTATGGAGGATGCTGACTCACATGGCATTGGTGAACACAACTTCTGCAGGTGGTATTTTAAAGAAGCAGCTGYAGAGCTCTGTATGAAAGAGATCCCTGAGCACAAACTGCTCATGAATTTGAGAAATTGATGGTGTTAAGATATCACATCTTTCTAGACACTGCCAGCCCATAAAACACCAGAATGCTGGGGATGCCTTCTCTGACCATACTGTTGTGAGGCTTCCAGAGGCTGCCCTCTTTTTTTTGAACCAGTCCCACATTTTTCTTATGGCTAAGATAGACATGGGAACAGTAATATCGCAGAAGCACCCCCTCACTCAGTCATCTTCCTTGTCAAACCTTATGAAATATTACCTTTGTGAGTTCATCTCCCATATGGGAGTGTGAGGCTKGCTCCCTAAGAATCCTCAGCTCCTTCCCTGGTTTCATGGAGAATTCCCCATTCCTGCTGGCTGATTCTCTCATCTGTTCCTTTCAGGAATCCTGATGAGGATGAAAAACCCTGGTGCTACATCAGAAAAAATAATGAAGTGGATTGGGAATTCTGTGATGTTTCACCCTGCTCAGGTAAAGCATTTAAGTGATTTGGCAGCATGTAGGTGGTCTGGAGCAGCAGATGTTGCTTAACTCTTCCATTCTGATATTCTCTGCATTATACATCTGCTGTCTCTTCCAAAACAGCTGAAGAGACCCCAACAGAACCCCCAACAGACCCCCCTGAAATATTCCAAACATGTGGACAGCCAGAAGTTCGTAGCACTCTCAAGAGGATCTACGGTGGATCCAAGGCTAAACCTGGAAAACATCCCTGGATGGCATCTCTGCAGAGACAGACTCCAGCTGGGAACGAGCATTTCTGTGGTGGAGTGCTGATTAAATCATGCTGGGTTCTTACTGCTGCACACTGCCTTGAGTAGGTGCATGTCCTATGGTTAGATAAATGTATAAAAATCAAGAGGATTAGTAAAGGCAGCTTGGTATCCAAATTATTTGCATTCAAAATGATTGCTGGGAATCAAATTGAAAAGAAAAGGTAGATGTGGGGGGGAAAATATGGACACTTACATCAAAATGTCTATATACTTGAAAACAGTTTGGTTTGAAAACAAACTTAGGCCCCACTCAACTAAAATGAGCTAAAGTAGTTGTGTGAGAGAGGAAAAGGAGGAAAGTAACAAGGTTTTGCAATGTATAAAAGAACTCTATGAAAAACTCAGGGGATATTGGGATGCCATAAGCAATATCACGTATTACATCAGAATTAAGTTCTTCAAGCAGTCAAATATGCACTTAGCTTTAATTTTTTTCTGTGTCAGCTAGTTTAGAATATTACATTTCCTCCAGCATTTGTATTGAATTAGTTGGAAGCCACCACCCTAGGAAAACAGGTAAATTACACACTGGAAATCATTCCAGCACAGATGATTTAAAATATGCCCAGACAATGGCAAGCAACTGTACTCCCGTGGTTACACAAACCACCACTCATCACAACCACAGCAACAGACTGTGTGCACACTGCTACTCTGCCCTAAAATGCAAAGAAAATCATTCTTTTGGAATGAGGATTCTTAAATGCAGCTTTAAATCACTTTATTTCAGGATTGCAACTAGTTTAGAGCACATGCATTGTCCAGCACCACTACTGTCTTATAATGATTTTAGGAATTCTTCTGGCCAAGCTGTACAACAGAAATGTCTTGACTTCCTGATACTAAAAGTGCAGGTTTTACCACTGCTGATAAAAGGTATCTGTATGTAAATTACTTTTTTTTTTTTTTTTTCTAGAGACCCAAAAACAAAGATCCAAGTAGCCCTTGGAAAGCTAAACCTCAAGAAGAGCGARCATCACGAGCAAATATTTGATGCAGAGGAAGTAATTTTACATGACGAATACAGAGAGAAGGATGGCATCCTATACAATGATATTGGTAACACCCTTTTTCCACTAATGTCAATGTAAAATTCTCATTGACACTGTGCTCTGGAAGCAATCAGGCCAAAGTGTGATCTAGGCCATTTGAATCTTTGGGGTGTAAGCRGTGATGGGAGGCAGAAGTCACTGTGTGGGAGGAGCCAAACAATAGGRACAGGTCCAGCACAGGGGGGAAATGGAATGTTTGGTTTATGCAGCTTTGCATGGAGTTGCATCACACACTGGTCACAGTGGTTAAGGATCAAAATTTGCTCCAAATTAATTTTGTTGGTTTTTATCTCCTCTCCAGGACTACTTAGACTGAAGCCAGTTGATGGTTACTGTGCAGTGGAAACTAAGTATGTGAAAATAGCATGTCTCCCTGAATTCCTCCTTCCTGCTGGGACTTCCTGCTTCATTTCTGGATGGGGCGAGACAGAGACAGGTACTCGTGGGCTGACTGGATTTGGGTGGGTGCTCCAGTGGCAAGGTGGGCTGGGACTTAGTGTAGCAACTGCCAGACCCAGGCACCAGTGAAAAAAATATGTGCAATTCAAAAATAAGGTCAGCTAAAACATGGAAATTATCCATTAGCAGAAATCTCCAACTGCTAAATCAACCAAACCTTTCAGAGTTCTGATAAAATCCCTGATGCATTTTTTTCCTGTCATCTGACTCTCCATGTCATGGTTTCATCTGAAGCCARCAGCAGAAGCAAGGAATTATCAAGAGAGGCTATTGTATAGCTTGTGTGTTTCAAGACAGCACCAAGAAAGACAGGAACTTTCACATGGTTTTCCAGCCCATTGGGTCAGAAACAGCTTTTCAGAGGCAGCATCTGGATCGTCAGATGTACTGAAAAATAAAATAAAATCCTAAGTTTTTCAAGCTCAACCAGCTCTATACCAAAATCTTTCTTGCCCATAGTAAATCCTAAGAGGAGAAATTATTATGCTTAAAAGAAGATAATGGCAATTTTCTGAAAAAAATGCATTTTCTCATGTTCTGATTGATGTGTTGCTGTAAAGCAGCAGAAGGAAAATGTGTCACTGAGGCTGCAGAAGGTGCCCTGGTGCTTTGTAACTGATCCAGGCTGATACGGTACTTGGGACCGAATTCTCCCTTCTGATGTAACTCCCATTGAAGTCCACAAGAGACAAGTGTGTTCATTTGATCAGAATGCACCAACAGCATTTAATGGACATTTTTTGAAAGTTCCAAATAAGAAGTTCCCTTAAAAAGGGCAAGGGGGATTTTATGGGGTTTTTTTTTCCCCCCCAACAAAGCGTATCAAGTACCCTGTACATCTTCAAACTACATGGCTTCTTCTTTGAGCAGAGCTATTATTAGCATTTCAGGAAATCACTGCAGAAATGGAATATTTCCTGAAACTCAAGYAGAACCAAACTTATAAACCACCTTTAATTATCTACAGATGTAGCACTTTGAAACTCTGGCTATTGCCTTTAGATGTCAAGTTATGTCTTTAGATTCTCTGTAATTAATCATTGCCCTTAAATATTGTATGATTTTCAGTTTTCATCTGTTTCATTAGCTTGCATGTTAAAGCATCTAATGGCACCAGTCTGAGAAGTGCTGAGCAGCTCGAAGTCCCATGGGGACCTGTGRGAGCTGCAGACAACCAGCATCTTGGAAAGCAGGATTCCAGAGCTGATTGGAACCAAATTCTGAATACCTGACTTTGCTTTTATTCAGTGTCTTAGTGAAACTTCAGGCTCCATCTCATTGGAAATTACCATTTCAGCCAGATAGTCCTGTTCCTCCACATGCATCCCTGCTGCTCTTCCCCCATCCCACCGGCAGGGCAAGAAAGCTCTTGTATTTTGAATAAAAGACAACATGCAATAGGAATGGGAGGAAAGTGACTCCATTTTTTTTTTTTTTGTGCACATCCCATAGATGAACAATCCCATCAGCTGCTAGATGCCAATGTCAAGCTGATTTCGCAGAGGAAATGCAATGAGCCCGAGTTGCACCATAACCGACTGGATGAGAGCATGTTTTGTGCAGGGAAACTTCGGAAAGCTGGAATCGATTCTTGTCAGGTCTGTTGCTTTTTCTGCATTTGAACACCAGGGTTTTTTGTGTAGAGTTAGACTGTGCAGAGTTTTGGCAGTGTGTGCATATGTATCTGTTCTCACATCAGTGTATTTCAACAGCCTTTCTGCATCACACTTTGAGTTGTGCATCCTTAGAGCTAATATTGCCACTGTCACCTACAGGCAGATCTGAGGAATCAAGAAACCAGCCTGGAAAGCTTGGCTTCTGAGGCAGTTTGTCATAATAACCTGAAAACCTGCTCTTTTTTCCTTAACATTTTTTGTTATGGCCTCTACCTTGAGCACCAATTCTAATCTGATTTTCACTATCAGAGCTAARACTTGCAGGGAGTCAGTATTGATGTTTCTTTTCATTGCAGCTACCACAAATGTGAAGCAAGTTCATACCTATACCATTGAAAGGTAGGGAAAAGTTTGAACAACACTTCCTAAGGTGCAAACTATCTTAGGAAAAGGAAGTACACAAAGCATACATTGCAATAGAAATCAGAAATAAAACAAAAAAAAATGAGACCAACCAACTCAGACTAAGGCTATTTTGAGGAATGTGAGAGAGCTTAAGCTTTTGTTAGTGCCAGGGATCACATCTTTGTCTTTCTGAGCTCAGGCTCTGAATTCCTGGGACTTTCATGTCTGGGAAATTTCATGTGACCTTGTCAGAAATATGTCATAGACTGGAAAAAAATGAAACCTTTCACCCAAAACGTCTGGTATCATTTGACCTGGTCACAGATTTGCAAATCTGCTTAGGGGCTAAGCTGCATCTGATGGTACATCCCATAAGAAAGAAAAAAAAAAAAATCATTGCCACTTCAAATTCTTGTGATGAGAGAGAAGTATTCTGATTTTGGTGAAGACTTTGCTTTGTGCTTTGAACATGTGTGCTTTCCTTCATCAGGGAGACTCTGGAGGCCCCCTGACTTGTGTGGCAAACAGCTCCTACTACGTATATGGCCTTGTGAGCTGGGGTGATGGGTGTGGGCTCAAAAACAAGCCAGGAGTTTATACCCAGGTGACAAAATTCACCAGCTGGATTAAATCTGTGCTTCAGTCTGCATCGAGGTCACGTCATTAGGAGAGAGCTTTGGAGTGACAAACGGTAAGCTTGAGAGATTTATTATTTTTATCAATTCCCCAAATGCATCCTCTTTGACCAAAAATGTTACTGATATTTTCTCATGGCCTACATGGGGTATATTTCATCGCCATCTTGAAAACAGCCTTGAGAGTGTTAGCTGGAATGTCAGTGTCAGTATTTTCTCTTGTGGGCTTTGAAATAAGCCCACATTTTGTAGCTAAACAGGTCAGAAAATAAAAGCTACTCCATTTCTTTCCCAAACAAATCAAAGGCCTTGAGATCAATGTTTCTAGATCTGCTTTTCAAGCCAAGAAAATTCTCCAAGCTCAGCTGCTGCCAGATATTTCCTCTTCCCCTCATGCTCCTGTCTAAGGTGTGCTTTTTCTGCACTCATTGGATCCTGACACCTCAAAGCTTTTGGTGTGTGCTCTCAAAGCCTGTACCATTTTTTGCACACATTTGAATCATTACCTGGCTGAGTCTGCAAAATTGCAGCCTTTGGAATTTTCTGAGGAGGRAGGATCAGGCAGGACAATTATTTTTAAAAGCACTTCTGTAGGGTAAATAACTACAAATTCCATCAGCGATGCATTCCAGATTGAACAACCAAAAAAACTTGCAGTATTAGAATTATCTACTTTATTCCTGATCAGAGGATRKTTGTTATGCTCTAGATCTACAMTRGTTTATATATGCTTAACAAGTGAGRTCTAGTAGTACTAGATCCTATTAAGAAAATCTGTGTCTAAAGCCATTGGGCAATGTGAGAGTTCTCATAAGAWGTACATTCAGATTGTGTAACTTTTGCCCAGTGATTCTGCACAGAAATTTGAAAAACAAGGGATTGGTATGAAATCAGGATATAAAGAATAAACTTGTCTGTGAAGAGTCAATTCCTTAAAATAATGTCACTCTCAGCTGAATTCCAGTTTTACAGCCTTCTCTAAGCAGCTACCTAATCAGTCAAAAGCTACCCCTACTGCAAAGAGTAATTCTGATTTTTTGCTTTGTAAGGTTTGAAAAAGACTGAAGAACAAATTGAATCTTGAATTGTATCTGAATACAGCCTGATAGTCTAGAGCAGATTCCCTGATGTCTGCTAGAAGACCTGCCTTTGGCCAGGCAATGATAACTTTGCTCCTACTGGCGTTTGACTCATTCATCTCTTAAACCACTTGAATAATGATTTTATATTGTCTTAGGCCAAAGGTGCCAATAATCCAGGAACATAGAAATCTCCAAAGATTACAAACATGGAATAAGAGTCACCTGATTTATTCATTACAAATTATTTAATATTCTACTATCTGTGGTACAAAGCTGAGCCTGCCAGTCACCTAGTACTAATTCCATTTACAGCTTTAAATAAATAGAATMTGTAATACATTCAGTGACAAATCACAAAGTATCCACACAAAAATAAAATGATCAGTTATAAATTGCAATGTTTTGGCTGCTTTTTAAAACTAAAAATTTTTAARTGCCATCTATTGTGTTTCCCAGAAAGCTGGAAAAGCTACCAGATTTGCAGGACACGATGAAAATCTATTTGTGTTATATCCTGTTTCTGTTTACTTCTGATACAGCTGCATTTGCCTCCTCTTGAACTGCAGAATTTCTGAAGCATCAGGGTTGACTCCAGCGTGCTGAGATCCTTCTGTCTCCAACTGGTCCTGTAAAATCACATCCAAATAAATTGTGAAACTAGCCAGTGGACAGTAGAGGTTATTAACTATTTCTATTACAATATTTGTATACTCAAAATTAGACAACTGGCAGAAAAATGAGGAAAATCTACATCACTGCTCTGCACTGAGAGAATTTCTGCAATGGAGAAGTGTGAAAAATGGACCTGCTCATGTAAGTTAGATACCTCCCATACCAAAGGACTGAATGTGCTCAAGCCCTAGTTTTTTATTTTGAGCAAAAAACCAAAGCAGCCAGCACTGGAGTCCCACATGGATTGCACACCTGTAAGTTTCCCTGGGACCATCAGATCATTATCATACTTTTGACTTAAGAAGGTGTTGCCTGTAGTTCCCACTGCCTGCATTACTCAACCATAGTTTTAATTTATTTCCCAAGTAACTTCTCAGATGGGAATGTAAATCATGGATATGTAGCATTTCTCTTGGTCTGGATTGTTGTTTGACTTGTTACCAAAGTTAAAAATTAAATGATGGAAGTATTTGAAGTGCAGTGATTCTCTGTTATTGTGGCTGAATGTTTCCTAACTTGTAAGGGCTATGAGATGTATGGACTATATGGACTTCTGCTCTCTGATGCTGGGATGCTGCATAGGGGGGTCTTCCCTGCACAGGCAGGGAGAAGGAAAGCCTGGAAAATCCCTGCTTGTGATTTCTTTGATCCTGAGCTGGACAGAGGTGGCAGAGGCTGGTGCACTGCCCCTTTGCACAAAGCCTCCCACAGCACACACGGCACTTTTATGCAGCCACAAAGCTTCATAAGGGAAAGGTACATATCCTGTTCAAATAATAGGGACAGCTGTAAACTCCAGGAAATATCCAAATGTTTTAGACAGGATGGTGCTAGTAAAGAGCAGAGCTGTTGGGATTTGTTGAGAAGAACAGTTTGCTCTACTTACAGCTCCAGGTCTGTACTGAGCAGAAGCACCCAGCAATCCCATTTCCCGAAGGTARGCCAGCTCAGCAGCTCTTCTTGCCATTTCAACCTTATGAGAGCCTGGGGGGGTCCAGCCAATGCCTCTGAGCCAGTTCAAGTCAGACTTGTATTTYACCTGAGAGAATGAAACATACACCAGGCTGCATTATTTTGTTGGGCTCTAACCAAACCACATGCCCCAGGTATTCAAGACAGAGCACACAAAGAGCAGCAGAGTCAATAATTTTAAAAACTGTTCATTTTTAGCAAGCAGACTGTGTTTCTTTCAAGAAGGTGGTTTTGTTGGCAGGTAAGGTCTGCAAAGGAGTTTGCACAGACAGCCCCATGCCCTGGGAAGGGTTGTGTCACCCAGCCACACTTACATCACTCTGCAGCTCGTAGGCCTGCTTTGCGTGTTTCACATTGAGCTGCTCAGGGTCACAGGTGTACTGGTGCAAGGGCTGCCTGTAGTTAACATTGCTTGCAAGCTGCTGGCTCCTCTTGGCATGGAGGAATCCTGGCTGGTTGAGGTGACTCTGGAACTGACCCATGTTTAGGGCATAATCATTCCTGTACTGGATGTCGCTCTGGAGTTTCCCCACTCTGAGGACATGTCTGATTTTGGGATCATCACTTGCACTGAGGAATCCGATCTGCTGGCCTCTGTCTCTCAGGAAGGCTTCTCTGTATTTGTACTGCAGGAAGTGCAGAGGAAAATCTCATTTTTGCATTCAAATTACCTTMAAATTCGTTATGAAATGACTTATCCTCCCCCAGCTATCAATCGTGTTTCCTGTAGTGCACAAAGACCAAGGGTTTGTTTGATATCAAACTACATCTCCTAATCTAACAAGACACTTTAGAAGAATGATCTTTGTGCTCATTTTTAAAGGAGTGGAAAGACTTAGGGGGCTGAAACTGCTTGTCTCTCAAAAGTAATCAGAGATCCTCCTACTGCTGCACCCTTGGGTACTCACAATACACAGCTAAAGCAATGAAGCTCCTCCATCTTTAGTTTTCTTGCCAACTGTGGTCTTCTGTGTTCAAAGATGACCCACTTTATCCTAGACCATGCTTTAACAATTCATAGCCTAATACCTATTTTATTTGATTAAATCATAATATGTCTCCCTCCTGAGAAAAACCCTTGGGCCATAAAACAGAACAGCCTCATACTGGACAATATTTATGGCCACCTTTAGTTGGAAATCTTTGCACTTAACCAGCACTTGATTTCATCGGATCACCAATTTTCCACACCAGAACAAAGTTCACTCATGTCAGAATTCACCCATTTTAACAGGACGGGGTGGCATGGGAAGAGAGTTGGGAAGTGTTTGAAACAGAACAATTCTTACATCACTAGCAATCTCTCTTGAAGCCTTTGCTGTCTGGAATGGGATGGCGTCAATCCTAAAATCATAGCCAGATGCCCTTGTCTGTTCCCAAGATGTTTTATACAATTTCTGTGTTGAAAAGAAAAGAACAAAACAGTCATTTCCCCCTGCAGTTTCTTAAACGCAGTCCCATAACTGCAATAATAAATGTTTTATCCTACTGGGCTTATTTGTATCAAGAGTCATCAGTACCATCTCCRAGGTTTTGATCCAGTTCTATAGCGCTTCAACTTCTTTTCTATTCAACATAATGATAAAATGCCTCATCTGAAAAGTGCCACCAGGGTTTCCTTTTGTACTTGAATGTGGTTGTTTTTGATGTGATTTAATTTCTATTAGAAACTGTGATGCATCAGTCACATCAATATTGCATTGATATTGCCCTTATTCTCTCTTTTGATGCATCCACTYGCAGTGTCTTGGGTTTCCTGGCATCATAATTTCAATACCAGTTATTTCAAGCTTTTCAAATGATCTTCGTCTCTATCCCCAGCCACATGTGGCTTCATTAACTCATGTGGAATAACAGCCGGTTCTAACATATTTAATGTGACTTTGAGGATGTGAATCACATTTACATCCTGAAGAGAAATTGCTCTAGATGTGGGTCTTCTTCCATTAGTAGTTTTCTTAAAATAACTTCCAGTCTGCAGGTCCTGCTACATGGCCATGGTGTCTTAGCTGACACTTTTGGCTGTCCCTGTCTGATTTTATTCACTTGCTTTCTGCAAGTCTTTGATTCATCCCTTCTGGGGGTTGTGACCATATGAAAAGAAGCACAAAACCCATTCCACACTTAAAAATAATCTTCTGTTTCACTGCTCAATGTAGTGCTAGGTGGTGCTAAGTTTGAAAGTAAACTGAGATGCCAGAAATCCTGCAAGACAGCCAGGGCAGAAGCAATGCAAGCATCACTGTGCACCCCGTTAACAGGGCTGATCATTCACGTGCAATCCATGTACATAACATTTGCTTTTTTTACATTATCCTCTCTTGCTTCAAAAAAATGTAATTTCTATTTCTTTCTTTCAGCTGAAAACAAACTAAGTTTATTCTGACCCTGCTGGTAAAGACACCAGCTACTCAATCAGGGAATGGGACATTAGGAATAGACTGAGTTTCTCTGTATGAGATAATGTGGAAACAAATTCTCTTTAAACTAATTCCACTCACTGATTCAGTTAAATCCAGACTGATGACAACTACACCTAAGGGATCACTTCAACACAGCATTGCAGCTTCAGAAAGGTGGATTAAATAGTCAAAGAGGATTCTCTCTCCTCCCTCACCAAAACAAAACCAAAAAGATTTTAATTTGTAACTAACAAATTATATCTATAATAAAATATCTATATTTTATATTATAAAATATATATTATCTATAATATTTTATATTATAATATCTATAATATATATCTATAATAAAAGTTTGAAATCCTTTATGATAGCTTACTTCCCTAGAAAGTAAGTGAATGCTCAAAAGGAAAGTTTACAGACTTTTTCTGATTCCTCCAGCCCAAACCTAGCAACATGTTAGCTGTTCACCGCCTCTGGCTTTTTTAACTTTTGGTCAGGCTCAGAGGACCTTGCTTCTACATACACAGAAAGTTTTTATTCCCAAGCAAGTCTACCAAGTCAGCTCCTCTAAGGAGATTTACTCACATCACTGATGTAAAGYGCATTCTGGCGGGCTCGGATGAAATCCGGATGATCAGGAGGCAGCGTGTACCTGTGCCTGTCTTCAGAACCCCCAGCCTTGTACAGTCTCTGTGGGGCCAAAAGTCATTGACTGTAACTGATAGTGCAAGCAATGTCAAGATAATTTTTTTATGCATTACAGCACAGCAAAAGTTAAGATCACTTATACATTGAAATGAAACCTACATCGTTGCACTGGAGGTAGCTCTTTTTGGCATGAATCAAATTTGGGGAGTCAACCACAGCAGTGAACTTCAGATTTTCTGGCTTCTGGCGGTACTTTACCTGAGAGGGGGAGGAGGCAACAAAAACAAACAAAAGAAAAAGAAACCATGAGATGTTTCTGTTAATGATATATGGCAATTCCAAGAGTGTCATAACTGGGGTAAAACATAAAAGACATTTTTCTGAAGCTGCTGTTCTGCCTTAGTCTCAGTTGCTCTTTCAGCTAGGGACTGGAGATGCCTTTGTATCAGGCACCAAACTTTCTTGTGTGTGTGTCTGTATGTGTGTGTGCAAAAAGGACTTCCCACTTAAAATTCATATGCAGAAAGCTTTTGAACACTACACTTTTGACAGCTCATAATTTTTCTCCATTAATGCATGATTCTGAGCAGGCAAATGCCCCTTCAGTGTGGTTGTCAGTGCTGTATCTTTCTATATAACTTCCATAACCACCTGCTTAGAATTTCATAATGGAATTTACTGCATTTATTTATTTCTACATGTTTTGCTCATACTCCTGTGTTTCATTTGGAATGGAAAATATTCAGCAGGTGTCACACAGTGGACTTGCGTCTCCCGTACTGCTTCTTGGTAACTTACACCTTGTATAAACAGGCTCCCACATCAAAAGGAAATGATAAGCTACATTCGTAAGTGTCATGTAACGAGGAGCCTTGATGGTAAACAATTCCTACAGACTTGCTATCC